TTCTAATCTCTTATTGACACATTATGATCCTTCGCTACCGATAGTCGTTGCTTCAGATGCTTTTAACTATGGTGTGGGCGCAGTCATTTCTCGCATTCTTCCTAATGTATCTGAAAAAGCTATCTCCCCTACTGCCAGATCTTTGACGACGACCGAAAGGAACTAAAGTCAAGTTAAGGAAGAGACCCTATCAATTATCTTTACAGTAAAAGAGTTCCACAAGATGATATATGGTCGACATTTAGCCATAATGACAGACCATAAGCCACTACTTGCAGTTTTTGGATCAAAGAAAGGAATTCCTGTTCATACAGCTAACCGACTCCAACGATGGGCAACCACACTTCTTGGTTACGGCTTCAAGATCAAGTATCAGTCTACTACCGCCTTCGGGCAAGCTGACGCATTGTCAAGATTAATAGGCTCTCAATCAAAAACCCCAGAGGAGACTCTCAAAGCAAATATAAAAGCTGAGAAAGAAGTTCATAGTGTATTCGATGACGCAATCAATGGATAAAACATTGAGCACAGTTAAATTCTATCCCTCGACAAAATGATCAAACAAACGCCTTGACGGAGAACTTTTGAAATATGTTCGTCGACGGGACTCACTAATGGTTGTCGACTCATGTACTATGTTCGGTGACCAAATCGTTACTCCGAAGTTATTACGTTACAACGTTCTCAAGCAGTTTCACAGTGGCTATAATGAAATCAATAAAGTGAAATCGTTGGCTCGCAGTCATGCTTATTGGCCGTTAACGGACAAAGATATCGAGAATAAATTCGGTAACTGTCCATCGTGCATTCAAGCCGTTAAAAATCCTGTTTATTATTATAATTATTATTAATGGCTTCATTCAATATTATATTTCGGGACAATATAGAATTCTCAACACAGGGTATTTCAACAAGTTATTTACGCAAAAAAACAGAAACAAAAACAAAAAGAGGGGAAAAAGGTTTAAAAAGGATCTGAAAAACTGTACAACTTTTCAAATAAGAGACATGTTTAGAATGCAGGTTATCGACTGGGTCAACTCTAACAACCTGTTCGTTACAGAGTATATTTGCTAGGTAAGGTATTATACAGCTTTTATACTTTTGCTCGCGTGCACGGATTTTAATGTAATTACGTCTCGTTCTACCAGAAGATATACAAGGAGATAGATAAGAGTGAAGGGGATGGTTAGTATCTGATAAAATAACACCTATCAGGAGTTTGCATGACTTTAGGTGTCTATCCACAACCATAGTAATTATAACCTCGAAAGATTCACCACACATCTTGCTAACTGCCATCAGCACTCTCCACAATACAGCAAAGTCTTTACTCAAAAGCTCGGGAAAGAATAATGGAGAACAGTAAAGAATAATAGGAAATATGCAAGAATTGACAAATTGTAAGAGTAAATGACGAGTAATCCCGAGAGCATGCAATCTCTTTATGTAGTAAGTCAGACAGAAAGCCTTCTTCGATAACAATAAAACGTGGGAAGACCAAGACAGATCAGAGGAAAAGGTGACACCAAGATAATTGACCTTCGACACTGTGTTTATCAAAGAGTCTTCAATGGTACAAGCATTATGGGATCTCAAAATGGTGTTTAGATTCTGTTAATGCCTCATGCTAAGGTTAACAGCTTGACATTTAGACCCATTAAGTATGAGACCATTACCAACAGACCAACAATCAATACGAGACAAAACTCATTCATTTCTATGGAATGTAAAGAGGAAGAGATAGGCATACATACAGTGAGATCATCCGCATATTTCACAAGAGTGTTTTCTGTGGAAGATGGCAGATCATGCAGAAAAAAAGAGAAGAGAAGAATTGAAAGAACAACTCCTTGTGGTACACCTTCATGAGACAGTAGAGATTCTGAACACTTTCCTCCAAATACAGTGTGCTGTTCCCTTCTAGACAGGTAGGAACATAGCCAGTTGGTTATCCAGCTGTCAGTGTTGACGCTGATTAACTTGTTAAGTAAACGTTGTCTTGGTATAGAATCAAAAGCTGAAGTATAGTCCAGAAAAGCACATCGAACATACTTCTGACCCTTTTCTAAGTTGAACACTATGTTGTGATGCAGAACAGCAACAGCATCTAAAGTGCTTCTTTTGCATCTGTAAGCAAACTGATATGGATCAATATGCTCTTTTATCGCAGGCTCAAGTGGAAGTACTAATAATTTTTCCATGGTTTTGAGGAAGGGTGAAGTTATTGCAATAGGTCTAAATTTCACGTTCTTATCACCAGATACTTTCTTTGGTACAGGGATTATCTTCATCTTTCTCCACATTTTCGGTATGAGATTAGATGAGAAGGATCTGTTAAAGGTAGTTGTGAATTGACAACATAGGACGTGAGCACACTTTTTAAAAAGGAGGTTTGGGATACCATCAGGTCCCAAACATCGGGATGAATTAAGTGACTGGAGACATCTTCGGACACCGGTCTCAGTGAAACTAGGAACACAGCTATTCTTTAAACCCGTGGATAAAGGGAGCATCACATCAGATGACTGACGTACAAAAACTTATTTAAGTCACAAACATTCAGCTGGTTATCGCTCCTAAACTTTCTGTCACCTGTGAGTTCTTTAAAGAGTTTCCACATACGTGGAGAGTTTTTGAGTAAACATACAGTTGAGACGTCTAATCTCTAGGTTTATCAGACCATTTAGCATACGAACTTCATTAGAGTTCTTCACCTTGTACATTCTCTCTTTCATCCTCCGTAGTCGTTTTAGTTGTGTAGATGTAAGTTGATCAAAACTTACAAAAATGGTTTCAGTGGGACAACAAATATCAGAACAGAATTTAAGGTAACAAGTGATAACATCAGTAGTGTTTTCCAGTGAGTCATCTGTAAATAATTCCCAGTTAGTCGTATGAAACATGTTTTGCAGATTTCGGATATTTTCTTCTGAGTAATTCCCATATTTGACTTTCTTGGTTTGATGTAAGAGTGTACTCTTCCCATGCTTTCCATATACTGTAGGTAGAACACGAATTATACAGTGGTTCGAGCTAGACAATGGAACACGTTTACGAGTCGCATATATACCCACATCATTAATGAAAACGAAGTCTAAATGAGCATCCAAACGAGTAGGAAAATCTACTACGTTTTGGTGATCTAGTGACGTAAGGAAGCTACAGTCACATGAATTGAAATCACCACATACAACTGAAAGTGAATCATTGAAGGCAGTAACAGCGAACTCAGTGAATTCATCAGCGAAAACAGATAGTGCAGATGATGTGCAATCTGGAATCACGTAGATATTGGTAACATAAACATATTTGTATTTATTCAGATGTTTTGGACGACATCTTAGAGTTAGACAGTCGATAAAGTCATTTGAAAACTTAAAACACACAAACAAAGATCGACACCAGTTTATGTTTACAAACGTAGCTAAACCGCCACCACACCTCTTTTTATTGTTTGATCGATCCTGAAGATAAATTATGAAACCACGTAGTGATACTGGGCAGTCATCCTGTAAATCACTTAACCAAGATTCTTGAATTGTGATGACACCACAATTACGATACATATTTTGACTAAGTAGGAACTGCAGATAGTCCACTTTGTTGATTAGTGATCGGCAGTTAGAATTTAGAAGCTCGGGAATCGACATACGATTAATATTCATTCTCTTTAACGCATATTACCAACCACCACGATGTCTTTTATAGTACGTTTTTGTAACTTGTGCAGCGAAATGTCGTAAGCTTTTCATAAAATCGCCTGAATAGGTTATGCGATTAATGGGCATAATGGTAAGTTAAAACAAATGAAAAAACAGATAACTTGTTGAAATAATTAGATGGCAGAAACAGGTAGCCCAGATATCCAAGCAGGCCGCCAGATGCGAACCTCAGTATTGGCCAACTCCTGCAGGACCATGAGTGAGACTTCACACAGATTTTGCTGATCCAATCCAAGGAAAAATGTTTCTGATTATCGTAGATGCATTTACTAGGTGGCCAGATGTACATAACATGCCCAATTGTACAACATTAGAAACAATCCACAAATTGTCTTCCTGTCATAGGTTTTCGTGCGTTATGGTCACTTCGCCGAGCGTTCAAATCTTTTGTCGAGGAAACGTTTCGAATTTTTTTATCCCACCTATGTAAGACCACACTTAGAGTACTGTATCCAAGCAGCTAGCCCGTGTCTGGTAAAGGATACTAACTCCCTTGAGCGTGTCCAGCGTGTGGGAACGAAATTAGTGAAGGGTCTTCCTAGACTCCCTTACGATGAGCGCTTAAAACGCCTAAATCTTTTCCCCTTGTCGTATCGTAGGACACGAGGTGACCTTATACTGGCATTTCGTATCTTTAATTATGATTTGAGTGTTAATATGTCTTATCTTTTTGGTCCCTCCAGCACTAATAATCTCCGCGGTCATAGCAAGAAGGTTCTTAAACCGAGATCTAATAAACTTAAAGTGGGGTCCCGTTTTTCTCATCGATTAGTCAGTCATTGGAACGCCTTACCCGAACAAGTGGTATCAGCCCCATCAGTGAATACTTTTAAAGAGAAGCTGGACCTTCACTGGAAAGCAATGTGTCAGGATTAACACAGGTTCATCAACCTACTATCCTTATTACTGAAGACTGTTTAGCTGCTTCGGAGTCCAAAAGTCCTTAGTAAATGATGATGGCTCGCAATTCATCGCAGAATAGTTTAAGTATTTCTGTAGCGCAAATGGGATAAATCATCTTCGTCCGACACCCGATCATCTGCAATCGAACGAACAAGCAGGATGCTTTGTGGACACCTTTAAACGAGTAATATTGACAGGGGGAGGCGAAGGGACAACTGGACAGGTAATCAAAAAAATTTTTAACATCCTACAGAACCACTCCGGACCCAAATGTTCCAGATGGAAAGTCTACTACTGAAGTCATGCACGGAAAGCGTATCCCGACCGTTTTCAACGCCATGTTGCCATCCAAATTAGTGCATGAGAAGTACGTTTTGATTGTTCTTGTTAATCAATAATTTTTCCGAACACTTATGAAAGACCAATGATTTAGTGATATTTCATGATCACTTACCGAAAGCTCAGTATCACTTTCAATGTGTTCCTAAAAAGCACATAAGGAACGCTAAATATTTGACTCATGAAGATATACCACTAGGTAAACTCTGGCTTTGCTTCATGTAAATCAGTTATGGATATGATGAATTGCGGAAAGAATTATCTCACTAGTCAATTGAAATTGGACCCAGACGATTTCTTGTAAATTATCATTTAATATCAAATAAGTTGTAGGTTTGGATTTCATTGGCCACCATTCAATAGTGTCCATCACTTACACATGCACATCCTTGGACCTAAACAACTTATGAGTTTTAATCTAATGTTTGATCCGCGGTTTCATATTTTCCGAAAGGTAAGTGAGCGATCGTACTTATTTTGACGCTTTTTCTATCAATTCTTTGCTAGGTTGAGAGAGTTTTGGACGATTTAAAAAAGCTCAAAATTGAAAGGAAGAAGTGAAATAGGTCGACCTCAAGCAGTCCAATGAATAACTTAATATTTAGTTGGCTTCGTTTACGTGCTTTCATATTTTCTTTTCTATTTTGCTGATCATCAAATCAATGTAGATAGTTCTTTTTTGCCGTGTTTTCGAATCATGTAATTTGATATACAGTCTACTATTTCTCAGAACAATCTTAAAAGCCGTTGTGATATTGTTTCGACAAAAAGTATGTCTTCATTATTTTATCAGATGCGATTCTCAATGAATTATATTTTCTATGATATCTTTATCATAACTTTTTCATAGTATGTTCAGGTAGTTCAGTAGTTAAGGCTCTGGATTATCATCTAATGTTCTGCAGGTCGGAAACCCATTCCATGTACTTCGATTTATCCAGTCCAGCATCATAATTCTTCATAGGAAATCTGTGTCTCAAAGATTAGTACACAAACTTGTAATGAATAAACAAGTTTATTTGGTCATTGCAATAGTTTTAAATCTTCTGAAAACGGATATAATACCAGTACTGATGTCCGTTAGCAACAAAAACTGCAGGGTTAAAGTGGTTCAGTCAACTCTGGAAGTCTTTAGTGACTGGGTGGATGCTTAAAAAAATATATTTCGGCAGGTTTTAAACACGATGAGTTGATGCGATGTATACATGGACTGACAGCTACTGTACAATTATGCTGTGCGATGAAAGTGATATAGTTGGAAAAATAGGGTTTATAGCTAATATTAAACAGTTGTTCAGACTCATCATATAGCTAAGACTTCGGGTATCAGTTGTTAGTAAAGAGACTAAGAAAGACGATTCAGTAATGCACTGAGATAAAGGGACTTTGTTAATTAGAGATAAATTAAGTAATAGCTCAATTGACTTCCATCTACTTCAATTTTTGACTGCCCATCAACAATCTGAAGACTAACCAAGAGAGAGGTAACAGGAAGGTCGGACTGATAATTTTAGATGATACTTCAACAGTTAGTAATATTGACCGATATATAAGATAGGGTCTGGATCAACTTCACCTAACTGGTAAAAGCTTATAACTTAGGTCCAGATACCCTGGATACATTTGACGTGATAATCACAATACCTGATTGTAAATATTAAGTGGTTTCTATTTATTTATGTAAACACATGGACATTGGTACAGGGAGGCACCAAATGTTTATGTGCCGCACTTCGTCATTCGACTTGTGTAAGGGCTGGAATATTGTCCGGGCGCCCAAACTGAAGCAGGTGGTTTTCTCAGGAGGTCACTTCCCGAGCCTTTGACCTAGAGGTCTAATCCACAAAGCAGTGGGGAAACGTCAGGACACAGTCCCACGGTCGCCGGTGATCAACAACAGTTTCATACGCCAGTTTCCGTCCTGGGATCCTTGAGTCTATATGCACCACAGGTTTGGAATCACGGTTCCCAAATCCCCCAGATGGATCCTCCGTATCCACTAACACGAGTTTGCTCATATCCTGCTATACACAAGCATTTCACTAGAGATTTTTGGGAATAAAGACGGCTACTATTGCAATATGAAATGTTGGACCATAGTAAAAGAAAAAAGATGCATTTCTCGACCCTACTGAGCAATGACGGTATCGAAGATTCTATCCTGGATGACTATTGTTTCCTGTTCATTCGTACTCAAGAAAAACGAAGTTGTGAGGTTGTAGACGAAGAAGTAATGGCCGTATGAGACCGGGATCAGTCGTCTTATCATTACTCTCCAGTTAGAGCTCTAGAGATTGTGCAATGCAGTGGTTTGAGATGTACAGCCCTGACTGTCAGGCTTAATCTTTGGTCGTTTTGTCAATTTTCAACTGAACTGTATCTCTTACTGAATACTGTTTCTGTTAATTTATTAATGGAAACAATTAGTCGCTTTGATTTTTTCGTACAATGTCTAAACAAGTGCTAATGAGGTGTGGCAACTTGGACCGATGCAGAAACACTACTGAATCCTACAACTCATCACCTAGAAAAATAATAGCACTACTAATTATACTAAAACAATCAAATTAAATATTGTTTATGATTATGAACAATGTATCATCACATTCGTGCTCAAAGAAAAATATCACTTCGATTTTATAGACAAAGAGAAAAACGAAAGAAAAAATCTTTAACAACTGAACATAACATACACATGGAAATAAAAAATAAAATGGCATAAAACACATTAGATAATTTGCAAGATCACATAGTAAGGGGGGAAAACTATGAATTCCTTGAACCCTCTCGTCAGTCAGTCTGTTCCACTTTTAGTTTACTTGATGCTTACGAAATGTATATAAATGTAACTCATGTGAATTATGAGTCAGACAGAAATGAGATAATTCTTACCTATTCGAGTCATAAATCACAAAATACGTGATAGTACGGTCCACTTAATTTGGCGGTTTGTTTTCTGTGAATGTTACCTTATGCAAGCAAGAATTTTTCTAGAGTGAGTGAATAATATAGTAATGGGATTACTGGTAGACCGCATATGTCGAGAAACAAAATGAAAACAACACTCATAGACAAGGAACTTGTCGATCATGAAAGATCTTTTGTTCTGTCTATAAAACTGTGATACTTCTGTTTTATTAATTAAAACGATAGTGCATGATTGAATGAAAATTGAGATGGATAAGTTAAATGTGTGTTGCTGGTGACTATTCTTCTCAATCTAAAAGAGACAGACAAAGCGTGACATGACAGAAAGATTTTCACAGGTTAACGTAAGAGTTAAGAGAAAATGAACCATCCGAATTAGGGACAGGAGAAAAAAGCAATTCATATTGTTTACAGCGATTTAGGAGAAAATACAGTTATTGATTTGAAATCGTCTGCTGATGATAACAGTAAATATTATACATCGAAAGACTAACAACGTGTGATCTCCCAACAAACTTATCCTATCAGTAGTAAGCAGCTGATTGGAATGGGTCCGACTGAACGTCGATGGGATTTGGACTGAATGGTTTTGGTCCACTCTGCGATCGAATATGTTGAACTCGTCGAGTCGGAGTAAGAGCTCTGACCTCCAGTATTTGATGTGCTGCAGGCATTTGTTGTCTAGAACTGTTTTCCTTACAAGTATTGCGTTTGATACCTTTGCTTTCAAGGCTTCTCGTAGTGTTAAATGAATGGCGATTATGGGTGCTCTAAAATGAGACAATTGAAAGCAAATCACAAAACTATTTTATCTTAGAACAAAAGTACATTACATGGCCATGCTGCACAAATGCAAATGTCACAAACTTCATTGAATTTACAAGTAGACATCCCGAAAATACACATGATCAACAGGATTACTTACAAGGGGAAAACAGACAATTTGAAGCCTTCCTAGGAGGACTGATAAAGAACCCAATCAAAGTTGTTTCTATAGAGAAAACATTTTGCTTAGGTGGATTAAGACCACTGTACACATTTAGTTTTCCAATAATTTTGTAGTGACAGATTTGTGAGTTTGATAGTCTTACTTACATATGTTACCTTTCATACGAATACGCTCCGCGGACTACGATTTTCCAACCAACTCTACCTTCAGCTCTTCATTTCCAATTGTTTCCACGTTCTGTTCATTCATTTAATGTCTGGCTTTAATTCCTGATGCAACGCGCTACTTGACCTACCATTTTTCCTCTTCCCTTCAGGATTCCAAGTTAGTGCTTACCTCGTGATGCACTTTGATAGTTTCTTCAATATGTGTCCTATCCACTCCCAGAGTCTTTTCCTAATTTCCTCCTCAAATGGAAGTTGGTTTGTTTTCTGATACAGTAGGCTGTTGCCGATGGTATCCGGTCAACGGACATTGAGCATCTTATGTGGACAATTGTTTATAAATACTTGTATATTTTTTATTATGGTTGTGGTAGTTCTGCACGTTTCAGCTCCATACAATACAACTGTCTTAATGTTCGTATTGAAGATTCTGGCTTTGATATTGGTTGGCAGTTGCTTTGAGTTCCAGATGATGTTGACGGTCTCCAGGTGTACACCAAAATGAATAACATCCGTGTATTTAGTTTCGAGTCACATTCTGTGTGGGGACTAATGACATCACCCGGCTCCTCAACCCTATCTATGTGGAGCGGGACTCAGACATAAAACATAGTGGTTGAAAGTTGAACACCTGAACCACTTATCCACCACCCCACAAAATTACAGTGAATACTATATGAAGAAAATAGGCAATGTAACGTAGTAAACTTACAGTAGAACGTGTCCGTTTCTTGTTAAATGACTTTTCGATCGCATTTTTCGGCATAGTATCAAAAACACAAGACGGTTGAAGTGGAGATTGAGCATTGTAATGTAATTGTACTTGTTGATGAGTAATATTATTATCACGTAAACTATTACACAGGACAGCCTTCTCCTCAGAAGTAACTGGAATACAATCCTCATCAGATTCACTGTCAGTTGAAAGTCTTGAATTATAGCGTTTTCTTGATGTTTGTACAGTTTGTCCAACAACATCACTTTCATTGAACAGCTCTCTTGGTAACGCTTGTACACTAGCAGATCGTATAATTGGTGGCCACACTCCAGCTAATCTATCTATTTCATCACGAATGTGTTCATAGTCTTTACGTGAAACATGTCTATTGGATAACAATTAGAGAAGAACAATCCCAAGTATTTGTTTAACACACAAAACAAACAAGGATTTTCAAAAGGTTTAACTAATTAAACAACCGGTACAATTCTTGTACTATCCAACTAGTCGACAGAACATATCATTTTGCTGAAAATGTTTATTATATGGCAACTGTTACCGACTTTGAAGTGTGAAAAGTGAATGATATGAACATTCGGCTAATTAGACGAGCAATAATAGGTAAAACATTGTATGGTTGTGAGACCGATTGCCGTCAAATTGGCCTACAGAGCATGCGCTTGAGGGTGAAACCGGAAGTCATGGGTTTGATTGCCTGCTGAGAGGGTCGTGTATGTACACTTCTGAAGAACCTCATTCTAGGATAAATCTGGTACCCAGTGCTTTCACGTTTTCAATCGTTGTCTAAATCAACAATTTGCACAACTCTATATTGAAAATGATGATTTTCTTCACACAGTATATCATTTATTCCCTGAGATTTTCAATGGTCGTTTTACTTGGAATGCAAGTATTGATGATAAGCGTTTCTCATTACAATAGACAATATTTACTTTGTACGGATTGATTTTCAAGTTGCAATACAGTCTACAACATTATGATCGTACTGTTTTGATAGAACAATGAGAGCCCGAAGTTGATCTGAACAATGTGATGCATTTGCACTATATTATTTCGAACTCTGTCTTCTTAGCGTTCTACTGAAATTGATAAACGGGACCAATTGCTTTAAGTCGTATTGTTGACTTAATAAATATCATACTACTAATTACCGACAAAATAATCTGCATTTCAGTAGTTAAAGCATTTCATTAAATGTATGGAAGAAATCAACCAGTACTGAACAAAATGGAATGTATTCAAGACAGACATACCTGGGAAATAAAGCATGTTGAATATGACGTATTCGTTGTCGAAATGAAACGCCATCAACGATCGATTCCAAAATATATCCAAATAGTAAATTCCCCAATACTATTCCATGAAGAATTATTACAAAATAGATTGAAGGGAAACGACAGAGCTGGAAATAAAATAACAAAACTAATAACATCACATACAGTTCGAAGAATCTGTCAGAAATGTAAATCATTATTCAGGAAACTGTCCAACTCTTTTATGAAATGTTTTTCAGAAGATTCTCCTGTCTAGTAACCACACCCAAACCATTTGCACAACAAATACTAAGAAATCAGTGATGGAAAATGCTGGTTAGCATCATCTACAATATAACACCATTAATGATGATGCCAATGGAATTCGAGCCCTATACATCAGTTAGAAATACATACTTTCGTTCAAATTAAACAATCAGAAGAATGTTTGCCAGCTATTTCAAACAGACAATCATTCATTCATTGAGAAAACAGGGAATAATTGTGGTTAAGAATTGTTAGGATGAAATTCTATAGAAAATGGATTAAGCCTTATTATCAATAAACAAAAGGATAACAAAATAAAACTGTGGTAACCTAAAAATATATGAAAACAACAAAGCAGAAAATCACTTCTTTCATAGATTGCATTCGTCTTAGATCGATTTTGGTTGGAGTATCATTAAAAACCAGGAGACACTAGACAGCTGTTTTGGCCACGTAGTGGACATCTCAAAAGTGCGTACACATAAGCACTCCAGGGATCTAACACACGACCCTTACTTCAGGTCTCGCGGCGAATGCATATAGTTTAAAAAGTAGAATGGCCAGTATATTGTTAATCAACGAAAATCAATATAATTGGTCTACAATTAATAAGAATAACTATGGCACAGTGCTTCGTCCTTCACCGAAATCTTACTTCGAATAATTTGCGAACCACACGGGCTGGATGAGATGTTAAGTATAAGGACCCAGCAATACATGCAATAAGGTTGACAACGAATAAATCTATAGAATTGGAAAGTCATAGAGAAAATGACAATTGCGCATTAGTTACAACCAAGGTAAAAAATATTTAATATCAGAAAGGGGTTTTGTAGAGATTTTAGCAATTTTAATTGTTGAGATCACGAATCAATTGAAGCTAAACCACCATGGAAAACTTGGAAGCACTGGACAGCCGTTTCGTCCTATTGTGTGACTCCTCGGCAGTGCGCATCCACAATCTCGGGTTCGAGTCCCGCAAGGCGGGATCGTGGATGCGCACTGCCAAGGAGTCACACAGTAGGACGAAACGGCCGTCCAGGTTTTCTATTGTGGTTTAGCTTCAATTGATTCATGATCTCAACAATTAAAAAATATTTACCTAAAATTATCGAAATATTCTTGAAGTTTATGCATAATATAACCATGTATTACAAGCAACAATACACATATTATGATTGTGATTAAAAGAGAAATCCATACTGTTGTCTGTCTTGATCAATAGTAAAGACAAGGAGAACTTATGAAGGTTGTAAACAATAGGAGGATTGTGACTGAAAGTGGAATTTAGAGCACGCATTCCGTCCTCCATGGCACTCATCAGCTGGATATACCTGCATCCCAGTGTTGATCTTCACATTGTGACTCGAACACAATGCCTACGCTTCAAACGCTCAATCCGATATGCACTGAGCTAATGAGTCAAGACAGTTACAATTCAAAAGTTTCACACATTTCAATTCCAGTACGACTGTCCTGATTTACACATCAGATCGCAACGAAATGAACATATCATCTATAAGAAAATACAATAGTCTTAGCCAATTATTATCTCTCAATTTTTTCTTATGATCCTCAAGAAGATTGTCGTAAACAACTGAACTCCCATTAACAGTGATTGTTGCGGTGCAATGATTAACATCGACTAAGTTGGAAACTTGCATCTAGTCTAAATGAATTGTCATTGCATAAACTGTCTTCTGGTATTACAAACAATCAACCGGAAACACTAAACCTAGGTTTCGTATTAGCTGGTGGCAGTCGTCAGAAAACGAATTCATTGTTAAAATACCAATCCAATCATGAGAGGTCAAACAAATAATAATAATAATAATAATAATAATAATAATAATAATAATAATAATAATAATAATAATAATAATAATAATAATAATAATAATTTGGACAATATAAGACAATAATTAGAAAGAAACAACTTACGATTAGAAAGAATTGACCGACGATATGGTGCAGATTTAGAGAATACAATAGCCAATATGATATATTGATAGACAGATACGGAGAATATGGCCGTACTTTCATAATTTTTTAATTCATAATCTTCATGATAAGTAAACAGTGGTAAATACCTTCAATGAAATAAAGGATAATGATGATAGCAATCAAAGGAGTTGCATGAAGGGATAACATACTTTAAAATGAAAGGACCGGTCAATCAACCCATAAAAGTCTGTCCACACAGTAACACTACCTAGCGGATCATCGCTAACAAAATATTACAAGTAAATAATAGTAGTATACATGTTCCTTTATCAATATTCCAATAAGTCTTAAATAATTTTTGAAACAATATAATACATCGATTTGATTACAATTATCAAGTTAATGCACTAACAGGTGCTTAAAACAGATATCAACGCAACAACCAATACAAACGGATGCTACAGATAAACATCACAACATTAGAAACATATTCACTAACCATGGTTGTAGTCGAGTAAACACAAAGACTGAAAATTGTACAAGACCACAAGTGAGTAACTGCAAACCCAATGATAACAAGGTCACAGTTGACACTAGTCGCATCGCAGGAGGTTCCACCGAGAGACGAGGATACGCCGGAGTATAACCAACTAATGAAAAAAACCAATACATTTTTTTAAAGAAAAAATAACCAATAAACAATATTCGTAAAATTACGGAGAATGACCATTGTATCATTTAAATAATCTAGGCTAGACCACTTGCATGAAAAACACTTTGCTTCATGAAACGTGACGTTTTGCATACAAACAAACGTTCTACACCAATCAGGTCACATAAATGATTTTCTCGTTTTGCAACTATGTCTTGACTTGACACGGTTCTCTTTCAGTCTTATTCGTGCTACTGTTACCTGGTAGTCATGTAAAAATATATCTGCTGTACGTGTTTAATCGACTTCTCGGGACAATCGACAATCCAACATGAACAGCATTCAACAGTATTGCAGTATAGAGAAATTATGCCGTTGAAAGTGATTACATTTGTATTTACCACACGAACTCCAAGGAGATCTATCACAACAGAGTAGTTGTTCAACCTGAACATTAACAATCATATGCAATTTTAAAATCACGTTCAAATCCAATTGAATTTAGTGACGTATCGATGAAAGATATTAATGTAGCTTGTATTTCAAAAATAAAATGAACCCAACCGCAATAAGTAAATAATGTCTGCTATTGAGACCATGAATACATTACAGGGATTATTTTCGATAAGAGAGAAATTCTGCTGAAGAAACCTAGTGTTAGTCGTGAAATCTCAATGATTTCCGAATCGATAGAGAGAAACTAAGGTGAAATTAAGGAAACATAAATCAATCTGCTTATCCATATAAGGTACGATAGTTCGAGTAAGGTCATCTATTCGTGAGGCTTTATGTGAAATATCTAATTGTAGATCAGAATAAATTATTCACCTGAAAAATCAATAAAGTGAATGTTGTCAGCATAAAGAAAACAAGGATTGTATGTAGACAAAAGTGAGTTCCCAGGTTCCCTGTTGTCTACATCTAAACATCCGACATAACAGGTTAGGAGAATATTTAGTTGAAATTTTTTATCGGTATAGGGTTGAGAAGATCATTGAATGTTTCTCGATATCACGCTCGTGATAGAACGTCCGGAGTTCGATTATCGGTTGCAGAATCATGAATGAGCACTCTTAAGGAGTCCCATACTAGAATGAAACGAACATCTAGTGTTCCTAGGTTTTCAACGTTTCTTGTACAAGTGTTATCGACTTATTGGAGAATACGGCTGATATTATACACGTCCCCACATTGATGTAACAGTAAAAAAACATAGAAACATATCGACAAATTGTTTAAACCGAACTTTGAAATCCACCATGGTATTCATACACAAACAAAAAGAAAGCGAACAATCACACAGTCTAAAAAAATGATAACAGTAAGTAACCTACTAAATATTTTCAGTTTTCTCCAACGGTTGAACAAACAAACAAAAAAACAATAAGATAGGTAGTGAAGAAAAACAAACAAATTCATTAAAGAAACTTCCGACATCCGAATTAAAGCTATCTATCAACCCAGACAGAATGAATACCAGAACACCGACGTACACTATTCAGTGTACAAATAAATACTTTCTCAACTTACACGTGAGACCCAGAGTTGCGATAAGGAAAAAGTCGATGAATAAAAATTGCAGGTCAGAAATATTACTGCCAATCTAGTGAGAAAGATGGAAAAAAAACAAAAAAATGTAAGGGAAGTACCACTACAACTACCAACCACAACAAAATGATCAAAGAAAACAAGTGCTTAATTTGTAATCGAAATTTATTATTTTGCTTCGTTTACAAATTACATTATTTTTCGATTTATGAAACAATACGTCTACAATTATAATTCGTCTAAAGGAGTGAATATTCTACTGAACACTATTAATACCTACTTAAATTATTTGTCTTGATTTACAATCTGAAATGAGTATAAATATGCAAATAAAGGGCAGCCTGCTTGAGCATCTGAGCTACCTGTTCCTGTCATCTAGATATTTCAACAAGTTATCTATTTTTGTTTGTTTTAATATATCATTATGTTTATTAATCGCATAACCTATTCTGCTGCGTTTCTGAAAAGTGTACAACCTTTCGTTGTCAGTTACAAAAAACACAATAAGAGACAATGTGGTTGCTGGCAATATACAACGAAAAGAATGTACATTATTCAGATGTTCATTTATTGAACTGCTAACATCTAACTGGCGATCACTCAATATTTATCGCCAGGACCGACCAAGAAGAAAGAAACGGAAACTTGTTGAAATACTTTGCGCTGAGAATTCTATATTGTACCAAAAATATAACATTGAATAAAGCTGATAATAATAATAATAATAATAATAATAATAATAATAATAATAATAATAATAAAATACAAGGTATATTTAGGTATAATTCAGGCACACGGTTGATGAATTCATTCAACACATTAATCATGGTATGTACCAGTCAAACACTGAGTTGGAAGGGAAGTGCATAATCATACAGCAATAAAACCCAAATATTCTTGCTGTTTGCCATCAGCGTCAATCTATTTGAATTCGTCAAACGGATTCGAAATGTGTTCATGAAGGAATCAACAGATAACAAAACGAATGAATCTGACTGGTGGTGGAGAACTCTCCCCAGTACTATTATTACTACTACAATTGTATTCAAAACAACCGTTTATTCAACTCCCAGATAAGAACAATTGATCTTACACCAGCGCTCACACTTTTTCGAATTCCAGTGATGTGTAGACAGCACTTTATCGTTTAGAGAGTTTGGCTTACAAGCAATTAGTAGCTCGCTCGAATCCTACTCCATCACGTCAAATTAAGAACCCTGGTAGCATCACCGTCTCTTACACAAACATTACATAAACTGTTTAGTGCGATTAACACTATAAATATACACAAATTAGATTGAGTCTTTTGCATACAAATGATCTTTGGAGATAGACCGATATTGACTACAAGGAAACCAGACTAACATTTATTAAAAAAGAATATTCTTCGTTTTATGTGTTTAAACAATAGAAAGTAAAAAGGAATACCAAAACCAAACTTACATAATATAAAAGTATAACAGAGAAAAATTGAATCATTGAATAACCGACCATAAATTTAAATGCACCAAAACTAGTAGCCAACGCGCAACGACCTTCACGAATAAGTGTAGGCACACAACTAATATTTTGTTGCTTCGATGTGAAAGGACTAGCAACACTGGCTTCAGCTTCGCTTAATGCAATTCCAGCATGTGCTACTTTCAATGCACCACAATCGTTAGCGCCATCACCACACATTGAAACAAAATAACCAACTGATTGGAGTGATTCGATCAGTTGAGCTTTTTGTTCCGGACGAAAACGAGCAAACACAGTACCCTTCACTACAAGCTGAGAAACGCACACACAGAAAGAAAAAAAGACAGAAAACAATTAGAAACAAATCTAAACACAACAGTGCTATTAACATTGAAATGCTCACGCTTCGAAACTAAAAATATATTGCAAGGTGGATAAATCACGAAAGAAACAGGAAAAGGTATGCAGAAAAGTGTAGTAAAAGACTATCATTTCACTTCTTGTGCTGTCCTTACCAAGCATTTGGTAGTCCAGATCATCATTCAGAGAGACATGGTGAGATCTGATCACTTTAGAACAAATGAAATAGATCTGAAAATCGTGAGACTAATCAAATACAACGACGTTTCGCCGACCCAAATTTCCGTGAAAAATACCGTAGTTTCATAACTACAAGTGGACAGATTACAATTGGCTGATAATTGATTAGTTACCGATATCGTGTCTGTCTAGTCCTTTTAGTGTTGACCAAATTCTATCCATGACGATCCGAATCCTACATAGGGAACCAGTACTCTCAGGTGCACCTCGCAGACAAGTGTTAGTTAGCAAGAAACCCAGATCAAAACTTTCTTATCGACTACCTCCAACCACCAAACATCAAGTGGACAATTATTTTTAAATGCGTTAACAAAACGTCAACACGTCATAAACGTATGCTAATTACTGAGTTAGTACTGTTGGAAAAATACTCTGTATTACATTGACGCGAATCCAACTATGTACACACTGTAAGATGTGTGGATATCAAATTGAAAATTGGGTGTGTTTTCCATTTCAGTAAAACAGCACAAAACTTGTTTGTGCCAATGCACTTTGTTATCACACTGTTTTGGTTGTACATTGAGTGTATTTTGCATAAGAAAGTACACAAAATTAAAGACTAAGCACTCAAGTCTGTTACAGTGATGAAGTGTTTCAAACAATAAAAGTCTAAACATTGTCTAGCGACAAGTACACAGAGCTGAACATGTATATACGTCATAAATTATTTTGATATCTCTGCATATCAATCCACATAATACTTTAGTTACATAAAACACGTCTGCTGTGTGAATAATACATTTCTCTACACAAATGATCATTAAGCACTACGAGTTCACCTCAGTGAATTAGTCGAAAGACTATGTCCATTTTAAAATCACCTTCGATATACATTGATAATCCCATTATTACTCACCTTTGGTATAAGCCAGGGATAATATTCTCGTATGATCGCCCACGTTTTACCAGACATAGCTAGGTGGAAATCAGGTCGATCGAGCATCCGTATAGATACAGAATGAGTGGGATTCAAACGACGATTTGATACCGAATCTAAATCATCTTTCGAATAACATCCACTGCTTCCTATTTCATAATGGTGATGTTCTCGTTGACCGGATGAAGAAGCACGAGGGTGACCATTCACTGAAACATTAGGCACCGCAGTTATATCTGTCAGTGGACTTGAAGACGGTGAGGAATGCTGTTCACATCCCCGTGAACTGAGCGAAAATCAAATTAAAACAAACAAATACACACAAATAATAATCGTGGAATTTAACAGATTTAAAAGTATTCCTCAAAAAAAACAATTAATGGATAGTGAGACATTTGAGTTGTGAATAGCTTCAGATCACTGCGGTCACACCAGAACACCAGGGAAACGTTATTTGACGAATTATTAGTTCGGTTTACATATCTTTAGTAAACGTAATCCAAGTAGTTGGTTAGTCGAATAACGATTAACATACTTAACTTCAATCCATACAGTTTGTGTCAAACGTTAACGAAGTTATGTGCAACGGAATTAGAACTGGCCACCAAATAGGTCAAACAGGAATCTATTAATCACGAATCCATCGTTCCATAGGAGAAATCGTTCATGCAGATCTATAGTACTCAATAGTCAGGATGTTTATATCATTAGGTCTCGCATCTAGTTACATAACTCCGAACTGTCATACAATGGTGAACGGAAATCTGCGCAATGCCTACAATGACTTCAGATCACCCAACTTCTAGCAATTTCAACAGCATTTAAACCATAAATCCTTATCTACTATGTTGTAGAAATATATGCAGAGTTTTCAGATGTCACATGATCCAGCTTAGTTCAAGGTTGAGTGAACACTTCTGAAATTAGTGATTGAATTATGATCGTTACTTGCGAACTGCCCTGTTTGTCAACTAAATTTTAACAGTATATGTGAACGCACAATTGTACAATGCAGATAAGTTTAATATCGAAATATGGCTTGAAACAGGAAGGTGAGTAATCGTATGGTTGACTAAGTACTCCATACAAATAGTCAAAAAACTAAATAGAGATCAAAATGTAGAACATCCCAAATGATTCAAGATGTTATTCATGAATAATCCAGGTGCTGAGTTGTTAGCATGCAACTTGAAGTTCAGAGATTTCAAGGTACAAGCAAGGTAGAGATAAGATCTGGTAGTCAATGTTGGTCAACAAAAGTAATAACATTTACTTAGGCTGTACATTCGAATTTGTAGTTGTTTGGTAAATATATATAGGTCTATAGAAAGATAGAAAAATACCACGCAAATGGTTCAAGGGCTATGTTAATGAAGAGGCAATTATAAAGCGGATATATAGGTAAGGTATACATAACATAGTAGAATGATTACTGATGACGTGGTTCCTAGAGGGTTTTCTAAACAGTCTAGATGAAAGCGATTATATTTACATAATGGAAAAAATAAATATTGGTTTAGTAGGAGATTTTCACAAATGAATTCATATGAACTTACACACATGGAACATCTTCACACAAGCGATGCATCAATTTTCGAGATTTCCTACTACTCCTTACAGAGAATCTGTGCGGATCAACATCAGTTTCAGTCGAAGTATTATTAACAGGTTGAGATCTATGAGATTTTCTCGTTGTTCTTGTTTCAGTTGTAGCTGTAACTTCAGTGACTGGTTTGTGTAAATCTTCAGCATAATGAAATTCAACTAATGAATCGTATTGTTGATTGAAGAAATTTTCCTCAAATAAAGAATTCGCTGCATTAAAACCTGAGTGTGTACGTGGTCTATTGTTGTTTCTTGTTTCTTGTGATTGTGTCAACGAAACAAATGGTAAACTAACATGATTTGAAGAAGTATGACTGTGTGGTTGATCACTGGGTAGATCAACTTTGGTAGAACAAGTTACAGAATCATTCGGACTAGATGACTGAACATGACGAGGAAATGGTGGTGGTTTTGCAGACACAAGAATAATACGATCCAGTTCATCGATCATCTCGCAATCTCGAGCTACTGACAATGCAGTCAACATATTATCACCTAAGTAAGAAGGTTGAATGATGAGCAACAACGCATTTTGTCAATTCATATTACTAACAAACGTAAATTACAATTGACAAGAATCATTAGTTTATGAAGTTCCATTGAGTCACAAAAATTGAAAGAAAATCATGTAAACTATTTCAATTTAATATTCATTACAATCCTCCACCATACTGATATTATGGTTAACTGGAATTCTTGGAATAAGACGATGAAAAAAGCACCACATTAGAGAGACACTGTTCACTAAATATGAGCTTAGACAGATAACAGACTCAAGCATGTAGCTTATTAGTTTGACCGTGACAGGCTAATTCGATATGCAAAGGTTAAAATTCAGATACAAAATGATAATAATAATAATAATAATAATATACTTTGGAGGTCAACAGTACATTTATACAGATTTAGAATATTCCAAGTTCAGGTTCAACGTCTATCTATATAGACTGATGTTAATAAATGTTAGAGAAAATAATCTAAAAAATCGCTTTCAAGAGAAATCACATTGAAAACAATCACACCAATGAAAAAGAAACATACCAGTTACCATTACAGGTCGAATATTGGCATATCTTAAAGTTTCAATCACTTGAGTTGTTTCCGGTTTCAAACGGTTCTCCATGATCAGTAGACCAAGAAATCGTAAATTCTGTTCAACGCGCTCCCTAGATACGTGTAAAACTTTTGTATAGGTTGCTTTCAATGGTTTCCAAGCTAACGCTAAAACTCGATAACCTTCACGTGTGTATTCCAACAGAGTAGAATGGAAATCTCTAGGTACTAAAGAACAGAAGAAAACAATAAGTGAAGTTCTCTAACAAACACAACTGATATACAACTTTATCAGGGAGTAATCTAAAGGCAACATCAGTTGAACAAATTGACATTTATTTGAATAAAACACTGTGTTTTAATATAAGGATTAACAGAGAATTGAAGTTACCAATAAACGCCTGTGTAAATCAGATATTTGTTCGATGAAGAAAGAAAACTTTGAATGTTTTGGTTCTAGTTAACATTTTATTCTAGTTCCAGTGTTTCGCTAATGACTGTACATTTACGAAAAATGACAATATAAAGGGATATTTGTACTTATAGTAAAAGTAAAGTATAGAAACAACTGAATCACAATCGAGAATGCAACTGTCAGGCTTGTTTTAATCTGTTCCCTGTACTTTAATCTCGGCTAAAACTTATAAACAACACACTAAGTGTAGAGAATATTGAAACTCTTCTAATAAAATAATCTAAGAAACAAAGAAAATCAACAACACAGTAGCTATGCTAGTTGAAATAGTAATAGCAATAACAACAAAAGGACAAGGTCTAGAATAAACGCAAAAATATAGTAAAGAATCTTTAGAACTTCAAAAGATATTGACAACACTATATCGATAAAAACATATAATAAACTTTTCTATAGAATAAAAGAATTCCGGACTCAAATAGGTTTAATTAAGAAAAGAAAAATATTTTAATCAGGCAAAACGGAGGTCATTGGAGAGAAATAAACAGTTATTTTAGTACAAGATAATGTGGTTAACAGAACTATGTACCTATATTTTTTCTTGGAAAGAAAACTCTGAAGTATGCATTTATTTCAAATACCACTTACCAAAATTAAATTAAAATTTTAAATTCATTCAAATCAATAACCGCTGAAGCCTAAAGAAAATAGCACTAAGCCAGAGTACATTCAGTCCAGAACGAAGCTAGGTGTATGCTTCATTCGAACAGAAACGAAGTCCTATTTTATTATTCCATGCAGGGATTTTCAGGCTCATAGGCCTGCTTTGAGCACTCAAAGTAGAGATGCCGTCCGCTCTCGACACCCGTTTAAAAGCATCCGGAAGCATACCAACAAGTCACTACACCGAGCAAAACACCGGTCCTGATCATACCTAAAACAGTGAACAAGAGATGGCATGCGACCGCACGACCCAGATCCAACTACGAGCATTTTAACTAAGCAAATCTAATATACTATTTTGGACCTGGAGTTACCGCGGCTGCTGGCACCAGATCAATATACAAGTAAAACTAAACAAATAAATCAATCATTCGATTGAGCAAGAAAACGATCCTAATTGCTGGAGGAAATTGTAAGTCTGAACAGTGTGTCTGAGTGTCGTCTAACTAAGTTTAGCGACTACACTAAATAGTGAGAGTTGCAAACAACCAACCGACAAATGTGTATACATTGATCTTGTACGACGTCAATCAGAATGTGAATATTTCATATGCAAAATGTATGACTATGCTTGTGCAGAACTAGAATTTCTGACTGAAAGAAACACTGCTGAACAAACAAATATTCCACTTAGAAATAGAAATTCCATTCAGTTCAGTAATGGTTTCAAAATGTATAATACAAATATTTTGCTACAGCATTGGCCTGTGTCGATTTTCAATCTGATCACAGACAGTCAAGTCGTAGATTGTGTCCCGATGATTTCATTTATCGAAGGATGTCATCTATCTTTGTGGGTTGGTGTCTAATGAAGTTTGAGAACGAAATCAAAAAGGTCAGTTGGCTTTTATCACCAAGTGTCACCTGTGGCGTGAGTGATAGCTCAGTCTTCCACAAGAAAAGAGTATAGTGAACACTGGTTTGTTTCGCACCATTTAATGGCTATGAAACGTGGCTACTCAAAGAGGATGTCTACAAGTTACCAGTATTTGATTATAGATGTCTTCGAATACTGAATTTTTTATTTTACGACAACCGAGTGAAGAATGCTATATTTACTTACTCGGTAACCGACCAAGATAGTTGTAACATGTCTTAAGCTGCCCAGCAACCCCCTACTTCGATGTAAGATGTTGGATAGTATAACCAGCGGCTGTCAAATTGAGAAGTACGTCCAGTCCACGAAGTCACTGACTGTTGGTCTCAGACACGTTGGTAGGTGCATACAACCTGGTCGGCACAATCAGTGGTTAAAGATGCCAGATGGAATAACTTCGAATCGCTTACAAAGGTCAACATACACCTTTACATTTTCAGTTTTAAAACGATTAAATACATTTTGTCACATGAATTCAAGAAACTTTCTTGAACAAGATTGTACACGCCAAATCATCTTACTGTACATAATGTTAATACCACTTTGGTATACATATTTATCATTTCGTCTCAGAGTGTTAAAATGGTGTCGGAAATTGTGTTGATATATGTTTGTCTTAGGTTTAACGTTGAATATGACTGACCAGTTGGATTAACATTTAAAAAAATAATTCTTGACAATCTTCACATTTTACTTACTAGTATCACATCTGCACAATAATTCAATAGTTTCAGGTGCACCTTTAGTATAGATATTGAAATGATTTTGATTGAGAGCACGAGTAATCACAGACATACGTTGTAATGAAGAACTGAATGGAAATTGACGTAGAATACCCACTTCATATGGAATATCCTACAAGTGTGTGAAATCAGGATTTTCAATTTCAATAAAAAGCATTTTTATAGAACAGAGAAAAGAAGGAAGTCGTAATTTACTCAGCTGACATGCAACCTCAAACTCTAAAAATATTATAATCTATTGGAATAAGCTAATAATCCATCTATGCTTTCCGAACACTATAAATATTGTTTACCAAAATCACCTGCGTTGTATTCAGATATTCACTGTGTGTTTAGCATTACTTTAGGTGATTTCATACCGTAAGTCTGTAAGGGCAAGTAGTGACCATGGTACCCAATTCCAATAAGTTTTAGGATGCCGAAACATAACAACAGTACTTGAAAATAAGTTCGATCATTAAAGAGCTAAACCATGAAACCGTATAAACGACCATTTTGTGAATACCTAGGCAAACTATGTCAAACCAGATACCTTAGTAGCAACAATTGACCTTCACTTAGAGCTTAGCATAGTTAAATAAAACATGATTGGAAATCTTTCTTAATAGAGGTGAAGGCTTCCACAACGCTACAGAAGTCAAGCCCCATATTAATCTTTTACTTACAACTACACTGATTCAATCGATGGGAATCAACATTCAGCTTAAATTATAGTGAATGATGCCATCAACATTAAATATCTCCATAGATGTGTTTTTCAAGTACATCTCTATAAATTAGATTATCCAAAAACAAACCACCGGTATTTTGACTTTGTAGACCACTATAGTGCCACATGTATGTCTACTGATATAGGAACGTCAATGTATGTGGCTTTTTAAGACAATCAGTTAAATGGACGACAGCAAAAAATAGTTATCGTCGACATCCCTCCTCAAAAAGTGTAACATAATTGAACACCGTTACTAATCTATAAGTTATATCATACGAATTGCGATTTACAGGTTTGCTCTGCTGAAATCCTCAGTTTGTACATATCCCCAACGGACTTTCATGAAGTTTTATTAATCCAGTTTATTATGATGATATTTCTAACACACTAAGCTGTCTTGTTTCTCAGTAACATTCAAAGTGTACATAAACAACGATCCTAGGAATTCATTATCATCTCGTTGCGAAAAAAGTATTCCACATTCAAACCTTCTTTATTTTCATGGTTTAGGACTTAACTGCAAAAAGAATATTCATGGTTAATTTTCCTAGCACGAGTACAATTTTGGTTTAGTCTGACTTTGCGCAATTTCGAAAACTTACTACAGGGTGATGGCGTGTCGTGAAACTGAATAACTGATGTAAGCCGACAGTTTACTGATAATAAACGACAAGACAGTTCAGTAGAACAGGGCAACAAGGATCAGAGCAGTTGCTATGTCCAGAACAAAAATCAACACTACTCCACATTTTATCATCAGAACATATGTCGACCCTCTCTCAGGTTGGAACAGTCTGCATTTTATATCAAGTGTACAAGAAACGGCAGTGTAAAGACACCAACCTAACTACATAACATAACTTACATCACCATTGAATTTTTCAGAAATCTTTTCCGTCAAACTGGTTTTACTAGATGGACGTACGATAGCAGGGACAGCCATTTCAAATTTACAGTGGTCAGCAGCTTCTTCAATGAGTTCCTGACAAAAACAACACAAAACGAAAACGCGATCTACAAGCAATTTGTTTACGTCAATAAACATGTTGTTGAAGACCTATACACATACATCCTTTAAACAAGCTTTTGTGATATTTTAGAAAATACCCCTCAATGTACCTAAATTTGTATTCTATCGAAATATATTTGATAACTAGCGGAAATAGAATCCGGAAATCTAGTCTCATACAGTTTCAGGATCATTCTGTTGTATGTGAATCTACCACAAGGCTTAACAAGTCAAAGTTGTGGAATCTCCTTGCTTCAAGAATTTTCCAGTCAAACTGATTTTGAATGACATCCTGGTTTTCAATAAGCAGTAAACACACAAAAGATAGCTGAAACCATCGGTGGGGTCACAGTCAACTACGTTCAAAGTCGATCATTTTCCAAACCCTCATTCTGTCGGCGGGAACACACAATCAGAACCTTCATGCCTGTACCAAAAATATCTAGTAGGTTAATTCACATGTTATGATGTGCGAATCTTACAACGACCTCAAAGTAACTACGACATTTAGGTTTCAGAGAAGGAAAAATGGTGAGTAGAAAAAAACTAGAACCATCTACAATCCTTACCCATTTAGTTGACTGGAACATCTTTAAGTCCAGAGGATCTCCACACAGAACTCCTTCAATCAATGTCAATGAGTGACAAGTCGCTAAACATTCCATTAGAGGACCATTATCCAACTCTGATGGTTCTAATTCCGGATCTCCAAATAAACCATCTTCATAAGGAATGATACCCCACATATCCAAACCATCTTCCGTTAAAGTGCCCGTCTATTAAAAAATCATGAAAAAATGGAAAAGATGTATAGTTTATTTAGATCTCAAAGCTTATTTCTGAATAACTTAATACTTAATACTAACTTTCTAACCGCTACGCACTCCACAAGATTTTCTTACACTTGAACACCAAACACAAAACAACAGTCGGAAAGTATCAAAAGAATCTCAAGTTTCAAGGTTGGTCAAGGTACAGAAAATTCATGTATCTACAGGTTTATGGTGACATAATCAGTAATTATTTAGGCAGGATAAAACACATCACAAATCGTGTTCTGGAACCCTCGCGAATGTTTCAATTGAACGTCGGAAGGACAAAGTGTGTTGAGAGTTTTACCAGCTTTTAAGGGAGTTTCCGAGGAACTACTGAGGTTTACCAACAAACACAATCGAGAAAAATCATATTAGCTTGTAACATCTAAAGGAATAACACGGTATCCAACATGGAACAGAGATAAGTAGAAAATCAATCATCATTCTGATCCAATCCGAAATTCCAAAGGTAAACACAATCATTATTAGTAAGCAACATGAAAACAACTTACAAAACACTAGTGATAATATGCAAAATGAGTAGATGAATTGTTTTCACGAAACACTAAGCCACAAAAAATATCCAAGATATATATAATTACTTAATCCCCAAGACCTAGGGTAACTGGATTAATATCAAATTACTTGACTTTGTTTACTATCTGCGGTAACGGTTATAAATTTGTCGACACACTTTGATTGTTAAAATCATGATATGAAATTATTCAATTTCGTTGATTTTTAACTGTCCATGACAGTGAATTCACCATAATTTTACATTCACTCAAAAATATCATACGAGAAACAATCAGAAGGTCTGAGTAATGAACTAAGCGAATGGAACTTGTTTTAATTTACACGTCATCCGCTCATCTATAAACAAAAGTGTGGAAGAAAATGAATATTGTTGGAATCAATACACAGTTTGTACTATTGGCCACCCAATAATTTGAATATTCAATACACTGGAAACTTAGAAAATTGGTAGATTTTCAGTCCATTATGAAGCACACAGAAGTAACTATTCAACTATTTTATTTATACGATGTACAACTCATCAAATAATTCACCTTGCGAACTTGGTATAAGTTTGTATTGTTTTCAAATATATACACAGCGAAAAAAACAAAGTATTAAAATATTTCCCAGAAAAAATATATATTTCAAAAACACTGCAACAGTATGAGGTGGGTGTCAGTGAAATCATGGAGGCTATTTTAAGCCGAGTGGATAACAACCACATTTGTTGTAGTCTATACACTTTAATACAGGTCAAAATGCTAGTTGGCGAAATCGTGGAATAAAGTAATATTACCATTTGAACTTAGACCTATTTAAGGATCGTTCAGTCCTACTCAAATGAACTCCATCTCCTTTTCTTTCTAAGCAAATCGGCAAGTAAACCGCTCAAAGCAGTTATTGAAACTATATCGAAAGAGTTACATTCGATCGGTAACATGCTCAGCGAAAGAAACTACCGAAAAAGGATATTTTTAATAACTACACCTACTTCTTCTTTTTATAACGTCAGGTAACTCTTGATTTTGAAAACAATGAAATTACAAGTTCACTCAGTTAAACTACTAGTGATATATAGAAAATCTTTCAGAAAAACATTAGACTTCAGAGTAAACTAGTTCTATGACAACTAAAAAATACTAATAGACTGTGCTATGCCACACAGAGTTTCAACCTATAACACAATAGTTTGAAATTCTAGCTGAACAACTTGTTTACAGTATATGAACAGTATTGGTGTTTACAAGGAGTACAGTTGCGACACAATCATATTGATAGTAAACTGTGATTTAGTGACTTATACCTTTTACATCACTCCCCCTTATCTCCGACCCATAAAACCAAATAACATCATCTGCCATCAGTAACATCCGTAATCAGTAGCCTACCAGAAAAGTCTGAATTTCGTTATTTGGAGAATATTTATTTAGCTGACGACATTAAGATAACTACATCAAATAGTCAACCATAAGCAATGTAGCACATCAAGCACAAATATGGATCGACCCAACTTTACACACCACAATGACACAGAAGGATTAAATTATCAAGGTGAATACCGAAGTGGTAGTAACATCAGTGGTAGTAAAAAAATATTAGGTATATACAATACGGTTCGAAAATAATTGGGGAATTCGTACAATAAAAGTGAAATAACAAAACTCCCAAGCTTGGTAGGAAATAATATCTTATTTATGTGTAGTACTAATACTTTCTAACCGATGAGACAGATTTAGCTTAACTGGTCATTAATTCAAGACCCCGGAAATAAATATAGCAAGGACATCATATGTCGTGGTTTTCAACCTATTTATTTATTTAAACACATAAACATTGGTACAAGGAGGCACCAAACAGATATGCGCCACAAAACATCATTTGATTTGCGTGTGAGGGCCGGGATACAGCCCGGGTGCAGGTGGTTTTCTTAAGGGGGCACATCCCGAATCTTTGACTTGAAGGTCTAATCCACAAGGTAGTGGAGCAACGTCAGGAGATGCAGTCCCATGGTAGCCGGTGGCCAACCATCGGCTCATACACCATTCGTTCCATCAGGATACTTTAGCCCATGTGCACCATTGGTTTGGAATCAGGGTTTTCTAAGTCCTCTAGATAGACTCTCAGTGTCCACCAACCAAGTTAAAGCTCCGGACATTTGCTTTTCGTCCTCTCAATTTCGTAAACGACACCCGCGTCGCGAGAAGGCAGTGAGTAGGACTTCCCTGGTGGTGGTTGTATGCACATGGCCACTTGGGAGCATTTCGAGAGGGAGTGGTGACTCTCTTCACTCTCGGCCTCACCAGGGCATTTGGAAGCATTCCAATCCAACAAACCCTTTATCGTAGAGGGATTCACAAACTTAAATGGATTCATTCTTAAAGGTACACACAAACGGTCATAACAGTCACTCATATTAAACTCTAGAAAGGCAGGTCAGAAATAATAATAAGCTGAAAGCAGCGAGAAAAGTCTTACTTTATCAAAACAAGCTACATTGATTACTCCACAAACATTGATCACGGTTGGATTGACACAAAATATTCCATGCGATAGTAGGCGTCGTTGAGCCAGAACAACGCCTACTGTCATCACGACAGGTAAGGCTGGTGGTATCACCACAGTAACTAAATCTAACGCTCGACGGATAATGTCATCAACACCAACATTAGCTCTGATCTAAAACAGCAATTTCAATCATTTGAATAAAAAACAAAACAAACTAATTATGTCCAGTTAGAGCATACGAAATATTATCCGTTAAAAAGCTTCACTCGATGCTGCGTGTTAAATCCGATTTCCAAATCATGTGTCTAATAGTACGACAGACATCATTATTTATACTTATGATGCTCTTCAGATAATTAGTGAATATGCATGAAGACAAGTGGAAAAGTTTGAATTTAGTGTAGAAGGCACGTGTACGTAACCAGTAGTTGATTGTAGGTGTCTTTCAGGTATTGTTTGTATATGGTAGAACGTTAACTGGAAAACGCTTACGTTAAACGTAGAGGAATTGGTAGAGCTAGTAAAATGGTTTAGGCTGTGAATTTTCACAAGAGTTATTTATTTAGGAGACGGTTTACGTGTTCCCAGCAATTGCCTACCTCGCTGTACATTACTGACTGGTAAAGCGGTGGTTTCGAACAAGGCTTAGGGTCACCCAAAGAAAATACGACATTGATCTGGGTCGTTTCAGGAGTTTTAGTCTTCTAGTTATGGATCCATGCGAAAATAGTAATCTCTAGTTGAAGAGCAATTGGTTAAAATTCTCAATTGGATATACATTCTTTCTCTATCTTGGTAGGGATACCTCAAGTTACCTGGTTTTTATCAGTAAATGTCGAATTCTTTCATGTTACGGTAACCGCAAGGAAGTTTCCTCTAATTTTTACTTCTACACGATCATTGCTGTTCTTTGACTAATCACCACCACTCTAAGTTTACTTATTTTTTTGTGTCTGAAGGCCATGTCTTGTTGTTATATTCATCACACAATTCCAATTTAGATTTGAATTCGTTAAATACCAGGCATTTTTTCCACCTGTGTGTTTTTCCTTTAGCATTCCTGTTTTTCGTTTCCCTTCAGGATTCCAAGTTAGTGCTTACCTCGTGATGCACTTTGATAGTTTCTTCAATATGTGTCCTATCCACTCCCAGAGTCTTTTCCTAATTTCCTCCTCAAATGGAAGTTGGTTTGTTTTCTGATACAGTAGGCTGTTGCCGATGGTATCCGGTCAACGGACATTGAGCATCTTATGTGGACAATTGTTTATAAATACTTGTATATTTTTTATTATGGTTGTGGTAGTTCTGCACGTTTCAGCTCCATACAATACAACTGTCTTAATGTTCGTATTGAAGATTCTGGCTTTGATATTGGTTGGCAGTTGCTTTGAGTTCCAGATGTCTTTCAGCTCTAGAAATGCTAACCTTTGCATTAGATCTTCCTTGCTTACCAATCATGCTGGCCAGGTACGTATACATTTCCACCTGTTAAAGAGCTTTCCCATCAAATGTGATTTGGTTGGTGCACTCTGTGTTGTATTTCAGGATCTTGCTTCTTCCCTTGTGTATGTTGAGCCCTACTGAAGCAGAGCCTTATAGCGACTCACGTGCAATTGAGTTTAGTTCAGCCAAGGTCTTTTGTTGACCTATTTAATGGACAAAGTCATCCATGATATAACAACTTGTTGTACTATCTTTATTATTATGCTTGTATGAAATACATATGCTTGAACATTGTTTAGCGCCTACGCATGTATTCATTCTGCTAGCTTCATTATTAACTGCTTAGTCTATTCGCTGACTCATCCATTTTCCTATATATATATATATATATATATATATATATATATATATATACATTTGCACCCATTTACTACTACTACTACTACTACAACTACAACTACTTGCTACTGCTACAATCGTAGTTCGCTTGCTCATTCATTTCGCCTCTCTGCTGTCTGGTCCGAATTATCTACTAAATAAACTGTAGTAGCTGCTTCTTTTTGCCTTCTGATTTCAAACATCGTTGAAGATTATACGATAACGGTTCGAGGGTGATTAATTATCGAAGCACAGCCACTACAGAATTGGTAATCCCGACGTGAGAACGGGAAGCGAATTTCGGCGAAATAATCAAATCCCAAAAATCCGATTCTTTTCATCTCAATTTGGATTATCAAATGAACTATAATTACAACTGTGGATTTATATTATTATTTTAATTACACTTACATTATTTCGCAAACATTATTAAACGTGACGATTATAATCATAATAAATAACAATTATCCATAAACAATTGATATATTGGTGCAATTTAGCAAGTCTGTTCCATTTTATAAATTGTGCCATTTTTTATTATCATTGTTTTTGCCCGTCTATTCTTCCTTGTGACTGTTAAGTTATTTTCGTGTGCTACTTAATTTTTATAAGCATGTCTTATGAAAACACAGTTTCAAGCGTACAGCAAGCCTCGTCCGTGAGGTCTCTTAACCTTCCTGCACCTTCTTTTAAAATCTTAGACCCAAAACTTTGGTTTATAAGACTTAAAAATTATTTTCTCGCTAACCGCATTCTTTTGCAAAAGGATAAGTTCGGCCTGACAAGCACACTACTCCCAGACGAAGTAGCTGACAGCGTTCGAGAGGCACTAGCAAAACCAGACACAGAAAAACCATACGACGTGCTAAAAGAGGCAGTAATTAAAACTCTCTCTCTCAGTGACCAACAAGCCGTCGAACAACTCCTTAGCCAAGTACAAATTGGAGATAGAACCCCATCACAACTAAAAAATTATATGAAAAGTCTACTTGGCGATAGACACATTGACAATAATCTCTTTTACCAACTGTGGCTCCGCCGACTCCCGGCAAATATACAGCAGATCCTAGCTGTGAGAGATACGGATGCTGATTTAGACAATATAGCAAAGATAGCCGATAGAATATACGAAAGAAGCAAGCAAGCAAGCCCTCCACTACACAGCGTGACGGTAGACGATAGACTTGATACTCTACAGAAGGAAATAAATGTTTTATGCCGCAAACTCACAGAATTAACGCAGAGAGAAAAGCCACGAAGGTCATCGCGAGATCGCTCGCGTGAAAGGACCCGGTCAACTTCTAGACGACGCACAACTCCCGCGATATGTTGGTATCATCAAATGTTCGGCTACAGGGCTAGAAAGTGCCTACAACCTTGTAGATTTAACAGGGCTGGTAACCGATACCCACGAGTATCAATGGCAACGGCATCAACACACATAATGCCTGAAAATAGTCGCCTCTTTTATATACAAGACCAAACCACTGGCGCACAATTCTTAGTTGACACTGGAGCGGAAATTAGCGTAGTACATCCATTTAACGAGGAAAGAAAAAACATTAATCCGTCATTAGTGCTAAGAGCAGCAAACAAATCAGATATTAAGACATATGGTAAACGGAAATTGTCCCTAGATTTTGGACGTGGCGCTTCATACCGTTGGAACTTTGTCATAGCAGACGTATCGATGCCCATAATAGGCATAGATTTCTTATGTAACTTTGACCTTCTAGTAGACTCTAGACGACACAGACTTATAAACGGCAATCAAACCACTTCGATAAGAGGAATACTTACGGAAGCCGTTTCAATGAACCTTGTGATAGATAAAAGTCGTGGTGATCCATATAAATTGTTGTTAAAAGAGTTCCCTGAACTCGTAAAAGTGACACAATAAAGCTGATCTCAAACATTCTATTCAGCATCACATAGTAACGAATGGTCCACCAATCAATGCAAGACCAAGAAGGTTAGATCCCAAAAGACTAGCCATCGCAAAACAAGAATTCGACAAGCTGATGAGGCTAGGCATCGTAAGGCCATCGAACAGCCCATGGGCATCCCCGCTACATATGGCCCCGAAAAAGAATGGAGAGGTTAGGCCATGTGGAGATTACAGAGCACTGAACAAACAAACAGTAGCTGACAGATACCCTATACCGCACATCCATGATTTCACCTACAGTATAGAGGGCACTACTATCTTCTCGAAGATCGACTTAGCCAGAGCATACTACCACATTCCTGTTGCCCCACAAGACATACCGAAAACAGCAGTAACAACCCCATTTGGGCTATATGAATTCCTGCGTATGCCTTTTGGACTGACTAACGCGGCACAAACCTTTCAGCGGTTTATCGATCAGGTCATTAGAGGTTTACCTGGGGTATACGCGTATATCGACGATTTATTAGTAGCTAGCACCACTAAAGATGAGCATATACAACAACTACGGCAATTATTTATGCGACTCAGAGAACATGGTATTTCTATAAATATTGAGAAGTGTGAATTCGGAAAAGAATCTTTACAGTTCCTAGGTCACAATATAACTTCTCAAGGCATCACACCGATAGCAACAGAAGTCGACGCCATTAGGAATTATCCCCTACCCGACTCATGGAAAAAGTTACGCCGATTTCTCGGGTTAATAAATTATTACAGACGATTTATCCCGAATTGTGCGTCAATATTGCAACCATTAACAGACGCGTTACGCGGACACGCACGGACATTCCAGTTATCACCAGACGCGATTCAAGCATTCGAGAACGCTAAAAAAGCACTAAATAAAGAAGTGACACTAACTAGACGAAAGAGCGAAACACCGTTAGCTATCATGACGGATGCATCAGACGTAGCGGTAGGAGCCGTTTTACAACAATTAGTAAAGGGCATATGGGAACCACTCTCATTTTTTTCGAAAAGACTGAATCCGACACAAACAAGATATAGTACTTTCGGAAGAGAACTCTTAGCAATTTACTTAGCAATTAAACACTTCCGTCATACGGTCGAAGGCATAAATTTTACCGTCTATACAGACCATAAACCACTAACGAAAGCGTTAAGTGCTAAGCAAGACAATTATTCACCGAGAGAGATCCGACAGCTAGAGTTCATTTCACAGTTCACTTCCGACATACAGTACGTTAAAGGATAAGAAAACGATGTGGCCGACGCATTGTCAAGAGCAACGATAAACACACTTATGGCAAGTGGGATTGATTACAACGGTCTGGCAAAGTTACAGGAGAGAGACATCGAGTTAAATAAACTCAGATCTGGTGGTACAACATCATTAGTACTCGAAGAGGTGCGGTTCGGCAACACGAAAGTAATTTGC